TCTCTCCCCCTCTCTCCCCCTCCTTTTTAAGGCAGGGTCTTGCTCTGTGGTTCCAGCTGGCCTTGAACTCACTAAATAGCCCAGGCTGGCCTTGAACTTGCAGGAACCTTCCACCTCAGCCTCCCAAGTGCTTGGATTATAGGTATGTACCCCCATGCCTGGCTTCCAAAAATTTCTAAACTCTTTCCACAAACCAGTTCCAAGGGCCTTTAAACCATATGGCCAGGTAGTGCCACAGCCATGACCCCAGTTCTCTGGTACCCAAATCTGTCTTGGTTACTTTCTTGTTGCTGGAACAAAATATCTGACACTCACACATTAAGGAGGAAAGGTTTATCTAATCTCAGTTTGTAGAGCTAAGCCCATAGTTGGCTGGCCCCAAGGCAGGAGAGCATGGCAGAGGGGCATTGCAGCAGAGAAACATTTTATGCCATAGCAGGCAGGAGGAAGAAGCAAGCAGCAAACCGCTCTTTTTCCTTTTTATTCCACTCAGACTACAAGCCAATTGGCTGGTGCCACTCATACCCAGTATGGGTCTCCTGTCTTCAGAAAACACATCCCACCACACCCAAATCTCTGCTGATACAATCAGTGGACTAATCCATGATCCATCACACACCCATAATCTATATTCACACACCCTAGATCCAGCCACCTCTGAAAAGCCCTACCTATGAATGTATGAGGGTTTAGGGGGACATCTATATACAAGCTATAACATTGCATCTTCTTAAATGTAGGCATGCACATATCCTGTCCTCTACTGCAGTTATAAACATGCCCTCTCCTCTCTTCTGAAGGAATACTCATCTCCTGTACTCTCTAATGCAGGAATATGTAGACACTGTCTTTCCTACTGCAGGTATACACATCCCCTCACTTTTCTACTGCTGGCATAAACAACTGCTCTCCTTATACAGCAGGCATATACATCCCATGTCTACTCTACTGCAGGCAAATGCATCCCATCCTGTACTTCAGTCATGTGCATAACCTGTCCTCTCTACTGCACTGTATATACTGTTTTTTCTATTGAAGGCTTATGCACCTCCTGTCCTTAATATGGAAGAGTTAATCATCTGCTGTCCTCTCTACTGCAGGAGTATGCTTCTCATCCTAATGCTAGCATATGCATCCCAGTATTTCTGCTGCAGGCATACTCAGCCCCTGCCCTCTTTGCTGCAGACATATATATCCCCTATCTTACTACTGCTGCATTCGCATCCTATATCTTCTCTATTCAGGCACATACATTCCATTTCCTCTCTACTGCAGTCATACACATCCACTGTACTCTGTACTGCAGCATACACATTACCTGTCCTCTGTGCTGTACCATAAATATCCCTTGTCCTCTCTACCAAAGGCCTGCTGTTTTGTCTAGGGGTGTGTATGACACTGCTGATCCCCAGCCAATTGGGATCATAAACAGAGCACCAGTAAGAGATTAAAGGAACCAGGTTTAAAAGGGAAAACAACACTTTATTTTAAAGAGAAATGGGGGATGACAGAGAGCTACCCTGTGAGAGAGTAGGGGATCCAGAGCTGGATACCCATTGATCTTTGTCCTCAACTTTCTTTTATAAAAATGATAGAGATACTTCCTCCCAGGTCCATACTTGGAGCTTGTCACAACCTGATTGGTTCTCTGGACTGTCATAGATGGATCCCAGGCCCCAAGACCTTAACCTGGGGCCCCATTGTCTACATGTACATTCTTATTTTTTGTACCTGGGATTGAACTTGGGACCTTGTGCTTGCAAGGCAGGTGGCAGCACCACTGAGCTAAATCCCCAGCCCTACATGCACATTCTTTTTTTTTTTTTCAGTTTAATGTATTTTAATAGCAAACTTACAAGAACAGCACAGAAAGACAGACAACATTAAAAACATGTACTAGCATGTTTAAGACAACTCAGAAAAGTATAATGACTAGATGGAATCTACTGTATGATAAAAATGCTACAAACACCATTTAGTTGCCGTCAATAAGAAATTTACTTGTTTTAAAAAAATCCAAATGCTGGCATTGTCCAGAAAAATTTAACAGGTTTATTTATAATTG